GCCTCTACTCCCTAGACCACCACGGCACAACCGGTCAAAATTTCAAAAGAAGTTTGGGGAGTCGAACCGCCGGCCTCAGAACGGAGAAGCGACGCCTCTACCCCCTAGACCACCACGGAACATGCAGTTCGTTGGCTGAGGTCACGGTTTTCAACCACACTGGGCGTGGCAGTAAAATTAAATGTTTATGTTTGTTAGGAATCGAACCCCCGACGTGTGGGACTGTTCTACACGGCTCCGCTCTGATGGCCTCAAACCGTTCCACAAAAGAAAGGAAATCGAAAAAAAACATTTGAGATACCGGTATTTGAACACCGCACTGTGCAAATGTTACAGACGTTCGATCGCATTTGCACAGTGCCGTGTTCGAATACCGGCATCTCAAATTTTTTTTTCGATTTCCTTTCTTTTGTGGAACGGTTTGAGGCCATCAGAGCGGAGCCGTGTAGAACAGTCCCACACGTCGGGGGTTCGATTCCTAACAAACATTAACATTTAATTTTACTGCCACGCCCAGTGTGGTTGAAAACCGTGACCTCAGCCAACGAACTGCATGTTCCGTGGTGGTCTAGGGGGTAGAGGCGTCGCTTCTCCGTTCTGAGGCCGGCGGTTCGACTCCCCAAACTTCTTTTGAAATTTTGACCGGGTCGGTCCATTCCTGTCGCGTCAAGAGCCCGCCTCACGCCGCTCCATTCGTCATGGGTCGTGGTGGGCGAGCGGCAAAAGTCGTGCGGTCCCGGCAGTAGGGTCCTGGGATCGACTCCCATCATTTCATTACATTTTTCGACTGGCTTCCTTCCACTGCAACTCAAACCCGTCGTCCAACACGACGCCAGACGTACAAGCTTGATAGCGTAGTGGTCAGAGTCACATTCACCTGGCCACTCCGCTGGGGTGTCTAAAAAGCAACTGCGCTTCGGCGGGTTGGCCTCGGCACTGGAGCGACGGAGTATTCGATCCGTCAATCCAGCCACCCGTAATTGGTCGCGGGTGGGTCCTCCTGATTCGTCGGGAGGAGATGATAAGTCCTTTGAAGCTGGCCCTTAAACAAGCTGTATGTTTGGTAGAGAGCGCCGGACAGCGGGTGTACATTTGGTACAGACCACCCCGCGAAAAGCAAAGGCTCTCAAGGCAGAGAGAGACTGTCAAACCCGCCCTTCAAGCCCGGCCCATATACAGACGAGAACCCCTGGGGTCGCCGCCTGTAAAGCACCGGTTCCCCCGATCCACCGAAGTTGCAGGCGGCCCTCCGACCTGTGTGCGGAGGTGGGAGAAGGGCCCCCCTTTTTTCTTCTTTTTATTTTCGATTTTTGTATCCAGGGGGGCGGGATGCATTGCGCCTAGGCTTTTTGTATCCCCCTCCGGCCGGCCGAGGGGATACTCCTCGCCTAGGCTCTTTGTATCCGGGGGGGGGATGCATTGCGCCTAGGCGACGTGCATCCTCCTCCGGCCGGCGGGGATACAATAAGCCTAGGCAAAATGTACCCCGGGGTACATTTCGCCTAGCCGCATTGTACCCGGGGCACAATTCGCCTGGCACCTAGGCGCATTGTACCCCTGGGTACATTGAACCTAGTCGTCATGTACCCCAGGGTACTTTGGCCCTAGGCGTTGTGTACCCGGGGGTACTCTGGGTCAGGGGGGTACACTTACACGCCGACACCGGCATAAGATCAGTTGTGGTCTAGCCTTTCAAGTCAAGTCAAGTCTGGCTCGGCGGGCCGCCTGCGCAGTAGGCAACCCGCGCTCGCTCCTCGCACGGCAGCGGAGCGGGCTGCCTACCCTGCGTTCGGCGGGCTGAAAACGCAACTTCGACTTCAGAGGATGATCGCACGTTCGCGGCCACTTATCCAGATGCGTTTTCAGAGGCCTGCCCGCCGAGAAGCCCAGCCCACTTGGCGCAAAGCAGGGCAGAGTAAGCGGCCATCTAATTATAACACGGGCGGGGGCTGCCGGGCCGGGGCGGGTGTGTTTCTAAGGAAATGGGACTGCCACAGGATGCGCATAGGTGGAACAAGCCAAAGGAAGCGCCTGGAAATTGAATGTGTTCACCATCGAGGGGAGGTGGAGGCCGGGCAGGAGGTGGCAGAGGCGATGCGACGGGCACTCCGTCGCAAAGTTGCCGTGAGTTGCCGTGATCGCGGATCGTCGCATCCGGCAGCCAACTAACCCGACCCGGACGCGAGCCAGACGCCAAGTTGGCCGATGGTGCGTCTTCGGCGGGCCGTGACAATTACCGGGCCCCGCCATTGCGGGCAACTGTTGCTGGCTGCGGCGCCCCGCCCCGCCCCGCCCCGCCCCGCCCCGCCCCGCAGGTAGTTGAGTTGCGGTAATCACCCCAATGGCAAAACGAAATCGAAGGCTGTTTCTCGTCGAAGCGCGCCGTGCCGCGCCGCGCCGCGCCGCGTCCCTCCCGGGCCGGCAGGAAATTAGCGTATTACTGGATGCCGTGCCGGGAAGTGGATGCTGTGAATGCTGTGCTGGGGCCACGGCCGCGCTACAGTGGCGCCGGCTTGCGTCAAAGCGATCAACTAAACTCATTATCGGCTGAAAATCGCGTCCGTGGAATTAGTCCGGCGGGCCTGGACCGGCGTCGCGTAGTCACCGGTGCGGCGTGGCGGGGCGTGGCGGGGCGGGGCGTGGCGGGGCGTGGCGGGGCGTGGCGGGGCGTGGCGGGGCGGGGCGTGGCGGGGCGTGGCGGGGCGTGGCGGGGCGTGGCGGGGCGTGGCCGGACGGAACCCGGTGGAAAGTGCACGGGCCTCCAAGAACAGCACTGCGGTCTCCGAGCGGCCGCGGCAGACCTGCAGCCTTGCTCGCCACCTGCCCTTTGGCCGCGTCGCACAACACAGCGGCCACGCCACCAGTAATTGAACCACTCCGGCGCTAATAGAATATCCGGGCCAATGCCGCCAGTTAAATTACCGGCCAAATGCTTTTTTTTTGCCTCGGTGTCTTTTTTTTTGCGTCTTGTTAGCTCTCTGTGGGCCGCACTGGAAGGTCCGAGCCAGGGCCTGGAGAAGACCCGGAGGGGGGCTGGGTCCCTGGGGCTGCAGGGCCGGGCTGGGGACCCCGTTCGGGCGGCTAATGCGATTACCAGTGGTTTCATTAGCTTGTATTGGCAGCCAACCGGGGCACGCAGCACGGCGCAGCACGGCGCAGCACACGGTAGACAACATCAGGCCGGAGCCACCCACCCACTTGTCGGCCTGCTTCGCCACCGCCACCGCGCACAAGCCGCGCAAGCCGCGCCAGCACAAAGCAGGCGCAAGAGTCGGTCCTCCTCGGCAGCGCGGCGCGGCACGGCGCGGCCGGTGACGCAGCCACGCTCTTCGTGTCCCGAACCGCAGCCCAAAGTCGTTAATGTGATTACCAGACCATTTCACGGCAATCATCCCTTCCAGCCTGGCTGCCAGCCCTGCCTGGCCGCCTGGGAGCCCTCCAAGCCCTTGTATCTCTTCGCTCCGACCCTTCCGCCGCCATGCCGCCGTGCCAGTGCCCGACCGCCACGCCGAGGCGCCCGACGCCACGGCCGCCCCGACTGATCCGGACGGATATCCGTCTTTGTTTGCAAGAAAGTTTGGGGCGGGGCGAGCGGAGCCATTCCCCGCTGGGGGGAATGAGGAGGGCGATGATTTCGGAATAACAAGAAGGAAAAATTGTTTAACGAGGTCGGCGACTTGTTTAGGCATGTGACGGCCGAGTCGTGGCAGAGCCCAGCAGCCGAGCCGCAAGGGCCCAGCCGGCCGACCAAAGTCAGGAATACTTGCGTGGAGTTGTGGCGGCCTGCTGCCCGGTCCGGGGGGACTCCTTGTTCCTGGGAGACGCCCCGCCCCGCCCCGCCCCGCCCCGCCCCGCCCCCCCGCCCCGCCCCGCCCCGCCCCGCCCCGCCCACCAAAGCCCGGCGGCGTGCTTTCTCGCGGTGCTTCTCCGTCCCAAACGTTCTGTGATGTTTATTCATAAGCAAAATGCATATTGCCCGCCTCGGAAAATAAAAGGAGGAAGTACGGTCGGGAAAAAAGGGCGCCGCATTATTTCGAGCGGGCGCGCCTCGGCCGGCCGGCCGGCCTTGTTTGAAGCGCGGCCAGCACCGCCCAGGCACCGCCCACCCTAGTCGACTTTGCGCCGCGATCCCGTGCAGCCGAGCCATGCGGAAGAGCTCTGTCTCTCTCGCACCCTCAAGGAGGTCCCCCTGAGTGCGACAGAGACACAGTGGCGAAAGGACTGTTCTGCACCGCTCCGGCAGCCAGCGAGGAAGACAAATGGAAAATGAGTATTCTTTTTGGGCCTCCGGTGTTGCCACTGGTCCCGTCCCGACCCGGAATTTCGCAATAGAAGGCGTCCAATTTTGCACTGAAATTTGACCCAAGCCACTCTGCAGAAAGAGACCAACATATCACGCTTACAAAATTTTGTAGAAGTCAGCGGAAGGTCGGGTTTTCATCGAGCCATCATGTCATTCTTGTTCAATAAGTTCCGGACTTACGGACACTCGGATTGTGTTTGTTCCGAGAAACCGACTGGAACAATGACCTATGTAATTGCTTTTGAAAGTGACCGAGTACCGAGTTGCCACAATGGCACCAAGAACCGTGCCGCCTGCAGACTGCGAGCACTGCTTTCGTCCTTCTGTCTCTCTCGCATCGCACCTATAAGCAACGCCCATGAGTGCGAGAGAGACCGAGTTCTCGGAATCAGTCTGCCGGCCAGGGATGAACGCATTCGTGGCTCAGCCCCGGGCAGCGACCTCTTTAATTAGTTTGTATTCAGCATGGAGAGTTTTATTTACTTCCATCGTTTGGATTGTTTGCTCGGAAAATTAGCCCGTGTGTGTTTGTTGTTGTTGTCTTCTCCTGTTTTTCCGCGAGCAGCGAGAAGGGGGAGAAAGAGGACGCGCTCCTTTGTGTTAAATCAGTTCACAACTGTTTATTGTCATTATACAGTTATTGTGTACACACATGTTACAAAGCGTGCGAGTCGAGTCGCAGTCTGCAGTCGTGGACGCCCCCGCCCGTCTCGGCCCGGCCTGGCCCGGCCCGGCCTGGCGCGCCCTGCAACAGACAGACAAACACAAAGCAGTTAGTACAGCACACGTAGTGCGTCGAGGCGCGCGCAGAGACAGGGCTCCTTCCGGAAGTACTCGTCCCCCGCGGGTCTTGATCTGGGGAGCGCCGCCATGGCGCCGCCCGGAGAACCTCCAAAGCCTGGCCCCGCCCCGCCCCGCCCCGCCCCGCCCCGTCCCGCCCCGCCCCGCCCCGCCCCGCCCAGCACAACTTGGACCGCACCGCAGTGACATCGTGACATCCTCGCAGGGACGCGGCGTAGCGAGCCGTGTCCACTGGAAGTCCCGGGCCGGCCCGCCAAACATCACTGTCCAGTCCAGCCCACGCCGCGGCCACGCCGTGTCGGCTTGTTGAGTTGTGTTGCTTCGGGGAGGGGGGGGGAGGCGTGTTGCAGGTGGTGCTGCACGGCGTGAAGTGCGTGGGCGCGCCGTCGTGCTCTCCAGGATGACGAACGGGACGGCGCCGTGTTTCAACGTCCATGTGAACTCGTCCGCAGCGCACTCGTCCGGGACTAGGCACTACACGGAGCGCGTCAAGAGCGCTGCAAGTGGGCAGGATTTACGGGCCGCCGCAGTGTAGTGGCTGGGGAAGGGGGCGGCGGCGTATCGCCCGGCAGCCAGGAGGTAGGCGGCGGCGGCCCGGTGCGCGCATAGACTCCCACACACAATAAAGCACTAAACGCGACCAAGCCGAAAATCCGAAGGCGGTCTCGCCGCCTTGCCGCGCCCCGCCGCCACCGATGTGCATTGCCATGGCGGGCATGGCGCCGAGCACGCCAACCACCCCGTCAGCGCGACCGCAGCACGCGCGGCACGCGCACGCGAGTTTTGGAGCGCCGCGACAGCGAGCGCGTTAACGGCCCTGCCTACAGAATGGGGCACTACGCGCCGCGAGACTTTGGCGCGCGCTTTGGACGCCCCCCGCCCCTCTCCGCGCGTTCTTGCGCTCGTGATTCCTCTTTGGGTGTTCTTCCCTTTTTGTTTTCGTAGTGCTGTGCCCCTTCGGGATGTTCGGGTGTTCCCGAGGGCGTTCCTCTCCTGGCAGGCGTTCTCCTTCGGGTGATCCCCTTCGGGTTGGCGCCCCCTTCGGGGTGTTCCTTCTTCGGCAGCAACACCACAGCGGCTCATATCCTGCTGCCGTCAACCTTCTGTCCCCGGATAGCAGGGGCGTTGCCTCCCCTCCGGCTGACGGAGCAGTGCGGGGCAAGGGGGGAGGGGGCAGATGAGAGAGAAAGGGGCGGGGGAGGTCGAAGTGGCAGGTGTTGTCCCCGCGCGCCGCCCCCGGCCGCCCCACCGAGCCAGCCAGCACCACCAGCAGAGCACGGCAGAATCATAAACCACAAATTGGGACAATAGGCCTGCGGTGCCCGCGGTGGCGGCGCGACGGCGGCGCTCCCTGGCGTCGCGGAGCACAACGACGACACCTCGGCAATTTCTCCACCCCGCCCCGCCCCGCCCCGCCCGCAGCGGCAAGCGGCGGCGAGAGGGGCGCGGAGAGATAGCGATCCGTCTCTGCCACGGCGGAGAGAATACTACGCGTGTCGTAGACGCGACGCGCGCTCCTAGCAGAAAACGAAGGGCGCTGATTTGGCGTGCCTGTGCCCGTTCCGTCCCCGAGGGCCGCGCGCCGCCGCCAGTGGAGCGTCCCCCGGCGAGGCCAGCCGCCGAGGCCGGGCGTGCGGATGATCCCGAGCAGTGCGCGCTGCGCCGACAGGGGCGGACCCGGGCGGACCCGACCCCGACGTGACTAGATGTGACACGACGCACGGGCCGGCGGCACGACAGGTCGACACGGCACTGCCTTGCCCGGCCTTGCCACCTCGCCGGGCCTCGCCGGGGCGATGACATGCTCCCTCCACTGACAGGCGGTGACGGGCGGCGGCCCCGCAGACTGCGGCCTAATGACAAGGCTTCTCGCTGTGCGCCCCGCGCCCCGCCCCGCGCCCCGCCATGCGCTCGGACCGCCGCGAGACCGATTCCTCGTGAGCCGCTTCCGGCAGAGCCTCTTGGTCCTGTAATCTCCACCCGCCCCGGCCCGGCCCGGCCTCTTTAAACCCCGAGTACTACCCGGCGGCGTGATTAGAGGCCCAGGCTGCCCCAATCAGACTGAGCTGCGGTGAATTTACGTGCAACGTGGAACCCCTGCGGACGAGAAATGACTACCAGAAGCATCATTAAGTGCGGATGGAGGCCAAACAAAAAAACACAGGAGAGGAAAGACAAGAGCCAAAAAACTGCTAGAAGAAAAGAAGCGCGGGTCCTTGCGAACTGCGTTGTCGTCAATGCCATCGCGTCGGGCGTAATCACCCAACTCATTATCGGCTCATCACTCGGTGGCGACTCAATCTACGGCAAAACGCCACCCACTCGCCCTCTGACAAGGCCCGGCCTGCACGGAGAAAAAGACTTTGCTGTGGCAACAAACACTTCGTTGGGACAACTAAGAGATTAGTTACTTTTTCCGAAACCAAGACGCTTAGCTGATCGAACTAATCATTCGCTTGTCTCAACAAACAGCATTGCTCTCTCTACGATTTCTATTAGTTGATGCAACAAAACTATGAATGTAGTCTTAACGTCATCAATTTTGTAATGATCATCATGAAACCTCGTTCTACGAATGCATAAACTTAGTTCCCGGCACTCACAAAAATTTGCTAGGGCGGCAAAATTTTTTTTGTCATCAGTGTCACAGTTTTGGGAGCCTGTACGAAACACCTGTTTACCCCAGCGCGTTACAACTGCTTCACGCCTCTTTTGTTGTAACGACGAAATTGTGAGGCTCTCGCCTAAAAGGGGTTGCAACCGTGCTCAGAGGCACGATCTCCCTGTGACGTCAGCATCAGAGCTGCAAGCTCGGAGAAAAGAATCGAGCACATCGAAGTCCCCGGATGGGGATTTGAACCCGCACTCTTCGTATTGAGACGCGACATCGCAAGCCACTGCACTGCCGATCTGCCTATGCTGTCATGGTCCGTCGCAGTGACTTGAACACTTTGCAGAAGCTGCGATCGTCCAGCGGTCTGGCGCTCGCGCGGGCAGCTCACAGCGTGAATCTGGTTGGGCAGAGACCCACTTCACGTTGATGTGGAGCTGAAGTAGTCATGACTTCGCTGCATCCTTTGATGGGTCGGATTATTCCATTCACCTCCGCCCGTTAAAATTTTGTAAGTCGGTTGTACTGATCAACTGTTTTATGCTTGGTCTCCCCGGGGACGCGCACCTTCAGAAATAACCACATCTGTAGAGAACCTGCACATCACGTGGCTCAGTTCCGTCCCTCATCGAACTCATTACTTGTAGCTTTGCCTACATGAGCCAATATATTTGCTTTCAGAACAATATTGGCTTCGTTCTCAGAACTAAAACTCAATCGCTCTTGAAGTCAAGAAACTAGTTACAGCAGCAAGTGTTTCTCGTTCCTTGAAGCTACAAATTTGTTTCAACTAGTAATCTTCTTAACGTTGCGACGGCAAGAAAAAAGTTTGTTGTCATAACCAACTTATTTTGCTCCGGAAAAATTAACTAACCTTTTCGTTGTCACAACTAACTTTTTTTCTCCGTGTGGCAGTGACTTTCATATGTCGCGGCCGCCGCGCCCCGCCCCGCCCCGCCCCGCCCCGCCCCGCCCGGGCTGCCAGAGTGATGGACGGGGCGTCGTGGAGGGTGGTGCGGCGTCGGGGCGGGGCTCGGCGCCGAGGGTGCGAAGACGAGGTCATATGGTACATCATCCTGATAGAGCGGCGGACGCGCACGCCGCCGTCAACACTAGAACGGAAATGTATATACGCCGCCGCCTGCTAGTTCCCGCGCCTCCGTTTAGCCCCCCCCCCCCCAGCCGCCTCGCTAAAGACATCGCTGCGCGCCGCGCCTCCGCCCGCCGGTCCCAGCCCTCCTGGCTATCCGGACCGCAGAGCCGAAAAGAAGAAGAATCCAAACCCCCGATGGACGCAAACGGCGGCGGTGCGGCCGAGGGGGGAGGAGGGAGGGGAGGCAGATGCCAAACAGATTCCTCGTGCAGCTGTGGCTTTCAGCCCCGTGCGGATTTCGGCTCGGCTCGGCTCGGCTCGGCTCGGCGGAGGCGTGGCAGTGGCGGCGCGCGGAGCACGGCGGAGCAGCACCTGTGGAGCCTCCCGTAAAAAGCAGCTAAACCGCGCGCGGGCGGTGAATCGCTGAATAAGATAAGGAAAAGGGTCGGGGATTTCGGGGAGGGGCGGCGGAGTGTGTGCCTGGTGTGGCCCCACAATGGGGATATAAGGCTGGCCTCGATATGTTGCGGCCGCCCTCAGTCGGCCGGCCTGACAAGACAATGAGCAGGCTGCTGCCTCTCTCTCTCTCTCTCTCTCTCTCTCTCTCTCTCTCTCTCTCTCTCTCTCTCTGGACAATCCCTGCCCTGCGGCCTGTCCCCGTCTGACAGCCACTCTGCCAAGGAGTGAAATTGTTTGCCGCGGGGTGAAATAGAAACAATTTGTTGGTGTTTTTTTGTTGGCCCCGATGGGATAAGCAACCCCCATAGCGGGGCGGCCCGCCGTGGAAACTTTGTTCGCCTCCACTCATCATCGGCGACACACAGACGCACACCGGGTTGCCGGGCCACCAGGCCACCGGGCCGCGCGCTCGCCGCCGGGACATTCGGAATTCGTCATGCTCCCCTTTTTCTGCCCGTTAAGCCCGTTCCTAGTTCCTTCCCCGGGTCATTTGCCAGAAACACTAAATCTGATGCTCCTTCCCGTGCAGAAATGCTGCCGCCGCCGCCCCACTGCCCCGCCCAGGACACCCGTCTAAATTATTTAAATTTGCCCTAATTTCTTCCTAGGCGACCTCCGTCGCCCCGTATACCAGGGACCGCACGTTTCGCGGGGCGCGTGGCGTGGCGCGGCGCGGCGGGGCGGGGCTGCGAGGGAAGGGGTGGGGCGGAAGGAAACGCTTACGGTCCCACTCATATTTCAGGGCGGGCTACATTGCGCACAAAGAGGTTGACAGGTGAAC